TAGATGAAACAAATCGACTGATCGTTTGGCTGTCTAAGATCAAACCCAAATTTTGTCTTGACAACATATGGAAAAAACTAATTATTTTTAGTAGTTTATTATTCTTGTACTAGAATCAGGGTGTGGATGTGAGTGTGCATATAGGTGTGGAATGTGCATGTGGGTGTATGTGAAGCTGTGATGTGTGTTTGGACAATGCAAAAATGTTCACCCAAACCAACACACTAACATCCTGGTTCTAGTATACGAATAATAAACTATTAAAAATAATGAGTTTTTTCCATATGTTGTCAAGACAAAACTCGGGTTTGATTTTAGACAGCCAAATGATCAATCGATTTGTTTCATCTAGAACGAAATGCCATAGTCTATACTTCACAATGGTGGAAAAATTAGGACGATATCTTTTGTCGTTTGAGAGTAACAAAGAATTTAAGATAGGGAGTTACTTTTCAATTACTCTATAAATGTATTCTGGTTCTTTTGACCTATTCTTTTAATCTACTTCTTTTAACCTACACGTTTTGTGAATAAGAGGAATCATTGTTTTAATTCTTCTTATTGTTCATTGTCTAAAACAAAGGAAAAGAAGCTTCTCGACTTCTTCTCTCGTCACTGTTTTTATCTATCCCATATATAGGGTGGATGTGTATATACTCTTTCTCGATGCCCGCACCCACACTCAACGCGACAGCCACAGCTATACCCACCGACACCTAAACATCCCATACTCACATACCCTACACCCACACCCTATTCGTTTGAAATATTGAAAACCACTGTCAGCAGCAAAAATAGTTCCAATCGGTGAGAAAAGAAAAAGAGGTAGACCAACAAAGGCTAAATCTTCTTTATTGATACAATAATTTGATTTTCTTTTTCTTTTCCCCTAGACTGAAAGGCTAGGGTCTAGAAACCGAAATTCACCTGTGTCTGTCTGTCTGTCCGTCTGTCTGTCGGTAACGCGGTCAAAATGGCCATTTTTTTGGCACACGTGACCATTTTTATGGCACAAACGACCACTTTTTTGGCACAAGTGACCATTTTTGTGGCACAAATGGCCATTTTTTTGGCACAAGTGACCATTTTCGTGGCACAAAGGGCCATTTTTTTGGCACAAGTGACCATTTTTTTGGCACAAACGGCCATTTTTTTACTAAAATTAACTAGGTAACTATGGTACAAATGAGCATGTAACTATGGCACAAACGGTCATTTTTTTGGTAGAAACGACCACATAACTATGGCACAAGTGACCATATAGCAACCATGGTACAAACAACTATTCCGGTAACTATGGTACAAATGACCATCTAAAGACTGATGTAAATGAACCCATAATAATCATGGGTAAAATGTCAATGGAATAACTATAATTCGGGTAGTGATGTAAAACGGCTTACTTACAAAAGCATTTAATTAGTGAGAGTCAGACCAAATGAGCAGTATGGATCTAAAGAAATCGTTTAAATTATTCATTATTGCAAGATTGATTGTGCAATGTTGTATCAATGAATATCTAATTTATTAATAGTTTAGAATTAATGCGTGAATTTAAGCATAAAATATTGATTAATAAAACTCAAATTTTATGAATAATATAATTCATATTTTTGTACGTACAAATAGCGCCAATATAATTATAAAAAAATCGTATTGTTGTCTAATCTTATTGGGCGCTATTTATATTCATAAAAGCAAAAAAAAAATAAAACAAAAACGATAAAAAAAAATTAAATTTGTGAATGCATCATCTTTACTTAGAGTGACAATTCTCCAAATTAAGTTTTCTGGTCGCCTAAGATATACTGGTCATATTATCAATGTTGCGTATTACTTTTTTAATGTAGCTTTTTATGCTATTCCATCCGTACATGTATTCTATCAGTCTAGGGCTAAGTGAATCGCTTGACGATGAACGTTACTTGTTTTTCAATGGCTGTTAAAATTTCTCCTAATTATGTGATTCTTTGATTTTTTTAAATTTATTTTCTACTGATAAAACTTATCTTTCCACTGATAAATTTTGTATTTTTCACTGACCAAATTTGTATTTCTTACTGATATAAGATGGAATTTTTTACTGCTACTTTATTTAATAAACTGACCATTTTACAATTAATTACTGCCAATTTCAATACTGACGATTTCATATTTATACTGATCATTTACATATTTTTTTACTGACCATTTCATCTATTATACTGACCACTTAAATGGTAGCCTTATTGTAATATAAGTAACATTTTTTAATTCTTCTAATTGTTTTTTCCATAGCCACTTTTGCACACTAAGTAACCAATCACCACGACTTTCTCCACTCCAATAAAGTTCTTTTTTGTTAGCTATAGATAGCCATTGAACAATTGGTTCAGAAAGATTTAGATGTTGTAGTTGGATCAAATCTTTCAAGTTCATAAATGCAAATTCTTGCTTCAATAAGAAAATAAACGATCGTGCAACAGCACGTAAATAATTTAAACTTGCTGTTTTTGTATTAATTTTTGTTGATTTTAATTGTTCTATAACTGTACCATGATCTTCAGATTGTATCTTTGATTGATATTTCATTAATGCTTGTTTATGAAGTGTAGATTCTTCATGCTGTCTAATTCCTACGATAAAGCTGTTTGAAAAAGTGTTTTTCATAAAATCAACACTTTTTATGGAGAAAAAAACTTAATTTCGGACAAATTTTCTTCTTAATTCCCTCGACTGAAGGGAGGGTCATACGAAAAAAACCTAAAAGCGT